CCTGCCAGTGTCAGTACATGTAATCGGTTTTGGTGGAACGTACGCTCTAACATAACACATTTAAATCTATATATAATATATACATGTATATATATATTTAGAATCTAATGAAGGTAGGAACATCAAACTAAATGACGTTACACTATACAACACCCCCCCCCCCTCTTTTTTTCCCCAACAAAAAAAATTGATAGAAAAACAATACATCAGAACAATAACAAGAAAGAAAAAATACACACTAACAAAATAAAACAGAACAAAGAGGGAAAAATAAAAGTAACTGTAACGGAACGTATTCAACAAATCAACGTGTGTGACAAGTGAGAAAGAGACGAAGTGAAGCTAGATGAGCTTTCTTTCAAAAGTAAAGAGGTTCGATTTCTTTCTTTTTTTTCTTTTTCTTTTTTTAGTTGACTTTTATTCCCCGATTCGGGGACCAAAAAATCGAGCCGCGCGGATTGGTCGCGGCCGTGACAAACATGCTAGTTCTATGTGTCGTTATCAATAACCCTCCGTAGATCTAGATCTAGATCAAGACAGCACACGAGTGAACACAACACATTAAGTTAAGTTTAAGAGCAGTACTCTTCACAAATCACAGGCAACACTTCATTACTTCATAGCTGTAGCGAAAAACTGTTTGGAACTGTAGCTTTTCTTTATATAAATATTTACTGCGGACATTTTTTGGACCGATTGAACAATATTGTACATGAACAATCTTTGGTAGGCCTATACTATAATTATAGATCTATATAATATCCAAAATTTTGCGGGAAAGGATGTGATTTCATAGTGTTCGGAGAAATAGTGTCCAGCTTTATTTTCCCGAACGTTCGGAGAAATAGTGCCCAGCTTTATTTTCCTGAACATTCGGAGAAATAGTGCCTAGCTTTATTTTCCCGAACGTTCGGAGAAATAGTGCCCAGCTTTATTTTCCTGAACATTCGGAGAAATAGTGCCGGCCAAATTTTATACTTTCCTACCAGCACGCAGATGAGCTGCTTTTGTGGGCGAAATGGTCGTATTTTTTATGCAGAACACACATATATGGCCACTATATACAACCGTCCCATATCAATACTACCAATTAACTTACATCGTCCATCAGCAAGATGACAAAATTTGGTTTCTCCTCAAAACGAAGAGATGAAGACCCGAGCCCGGTCGCAGACTCAGAGAAACTCAAACAGCATGAATATGATGAATAAAACAATAATAATAGCAGACCCAGATTGAGCGCCATTTTCCTTCAACTTCAGCAAAACGGCACTCTTACTTCCTAAAAAGATAAATCTCGCTGATAGAGAAATGACAGCAAGTCTAGCAGCTGATAACTGCTGCAGAATCAACACAAACAGTGTGTGTGCTAAAATTTGAGAACGACAACAAAGCAGCGATCATGTGACTCCGAGACTCCGACAGATCACATGACATTACAACGTGATACAGAAGGCATACTAAATACCAATATAATACATTTTTTTCGACCGGTTTATACTGACTGACTGACTGACTGACTGACTGACTGACCTGCTCTGTGTGTGTGTGTGTGTGTGTGTGTGTGTGTGTGTGTGTGTGTGTGTGTGTGACAGAATTCTATTGCGTAGACTTCTGTGGTGTGTGTCAATATTTACATGTATTATGTTTTTATTATGTATAAGGCATGTGTGTGGTTGTGTGTATATTATGTGTCATGATGTGTTTGTGTGTGTCATGATGTGTTTGTGTATGTGTGTGTGGGGGGGGGGGGGGAGAGGGGGGAGATCAGAGGGTGCGCATAATAAATATGAAGTAATGAGCATAATATGCAAACATAGCTCCTACATCTGTGCCCCCTGAATGGGAAACTAGTATTGAATGTTGCGCATACGTATGCGTGCTGGGAAATTATGATTGTGTATAGATCTAAATAAATTGCATAATATATCATAATATGATCATTATTTGTTATTATATAAGACAATATATATATAATAATATTAGACCAGAGAGGATTATTTACAGTAAAAGTATTACTGTAAACTCTCTGATTAGACTCTACTTTGGTAATTAATAATAGCTTTCAAATTCGTTACTGAGGTTCTCTCTTTAAAAATATAAGCCTGCGCCCCCCCCCCCCCCCAAATCATCTCCCTCCCTCTCCTCCTCTCTGTTTGTCTGTCTGTCTGTCTGTCTGTCTGTCTGTCTGTCTCTCGTTCTCTCTCTCTTGCTCTCTCTCTCTCTCTCTCTCTCTCTCTCTCTCTCTCTCTCTCTCTCTCTCTCTCTCTCTCTCTCAATAGCCTATTGTACGAATCCGTTGTGTGTGCATAAAAATGTGTTTGTGTGTATACGCGCGTGCGTGTGTGTGTGTGTGTGTGT